GAAGTTGTTTCTGTGTGTGCAGCTTGGCTTGGCTTGGCTCGGCTCTCGAGTGGCTACAGTTCTCTCCTTGCAACTGTCAATCATTTGTTTAATTTCTTTACAAACCATTGTCCAGTCAAGGCAGTTACAACGTGCCTTCTGTGGCTATTCCCCATTCGACTCCTTCCCATGTGTCGCTTGTGGCTGAGTTTAGTTAATGGCAAAAGCCCTCAAAACGCATTCCACTTTTTGTGCATTATGGCCGCCAGTCGGAGGTCCTGTGGGTATCTTGTAGACACAATTGCGGAGAAGCATCCCAGACAGTAAGAACGATTTTAAAGACACAACTTACCAGCGCACTTTGGTGCACATTCAATGAGGAAATCTACCTCCAAATATCATTTATTTTATTTAACACAAATAACACGCTCCTTCCTCAAGCCCAAGCAATTATTTACAGCCACAATTATACGTGTATTTTGTACTCGCAAGTGTAGATATATAAATGCTTCCACTTCAGCGAATCATTTTAATTAGGCAAATCAACACGAGGGCAGGCTGTCAAGTTGTGTCGAAGAGACGCTTGAAATGGAGATGGAGACGGCGCAAGTGGCCACTCGGTACAGTTCAACGAATTGTGTGTACTCGGCTTTAAGGATTGCACTTTCCTTGGCTCTTAAAGATGCGGCCCGAAAGCGTACATGTAAGTGGATGTGTGCATGGGCCACATCCGGCTTGTGCAATTTGTGGCAACATGAAAGAGGCAAGGCACCAACTGGTGATCTCTGGCAACCCTCCATCCATCCGGTGCCGTCAGTGGTCGTCGGTCAATTTGCTTTCTGGCCAGCGATGAAATTAGCAACGCTTCCCATTTTGCATAATAACTTTGGCAACGTTTCGGGCCAATGGCTGGGCAGTAGAGACGTGGAGACTAGCTGGGTAGCTGGGTAGCTGTAGCTGGGGATATCCCGTGAGCGATTCAATTAAATCGTTCGTCGGTGCCAAACCAAATAAAAATCAAAATTAAATTCATGCCGAGAGTTTTACATTCGGACACATTCGATAGGACATGGAAATGTGAGGGCATGGTCTGGATTGTTGAACACGGAAGCGGATGCGGATGCGGATGCGGATGCGGATGTGGATGGAGCATTCGATTGGCATTTCAATTTGATTTGCCGGCATGGAAATCGGCATTTTAATGTGCGAATCGTCGGAATTGTTTGAATCAATTAATTTTTCTGGTAGAGAGCATCGCCCGTCCGTCCGTCCCTCCACTCTGCTCTTTATTTATGGCAAAAAGTGTGCGAATTTATTTTGTTTGACTTTGATGCAAGTTTTGCGCATTCCAGAGATGAAATCTCAGCTTAGTTGCCGCCAATAACTCATTCAGAACGGGTTGCACTGTGTACAGTAAGCCCTCGTATGTGTGTGCCTGCAGTTTGATTGCCATTTATCATGCCGTTGGAGCAGAGCAAATTGATTTCCATTATGGTCGCCCATCAATTGTGCAGCATTTTTGGTCGCAGCGCCCATCCATCCATCAGTCAATCAATAATTTCATCATTTGCAAAAGCACTTGCATAAATGTTGTCTCTGTCATCTGAGGCTAAACGGAAGAGGTTCCACGGGCACACAAATGTGTGCAAGTATCCATAAATATATTTGGCATTAGGCGTGATATTTGTAACCCTTTTTGGATCTTCCCTGGACCTGCATGCATTTTTGTATCCATTCCGGCGATTGCAGTGATTAGTGGTTCAGGAAAAGGGCATTTGGGCATTTGGCGAATGGAAATCGAAATGGAAACTTTGGGCTAAAATGCCAAATTGGATAATGTAAAATGATGGCCGCTCCTGCTGCCTGTCTTTGTGTGTGTTTGACATAATTTGATTTTAATTATGAAAGAGGTGGCAACCGACAAGAGTTCGTTTGCCTGTTCTGCGGTTAATCAACTGTCCGTGGCATAAATATTTTGATTGCCACCAAACGCCCCAGGGGGCGACCAAAAAACCAACGTCAGGCTCGAGCCATTGCGACATGGACAGGTCCAAAAATAGGCAAGGGCCCCGGCCCAAACGCCATTTGCCGCAAAAATGACAATTAAAAATAATTTGAAATGCAGACACCCCGAATAGCGCCAGTGGCCAGGAGCCAGCCAGAAGCCCATCAGAATCATAGACACCACCGACAGGAGCACAGGATGAGGATGAAGGCTCGAGAGTAGGAGCACCAGCAGCGCATTTCATTAAAATTTCAAGTCGACTCAACTTTCGAGCACACAGGAGGAGGACAGCACTTGACAACAAGAGCCACAAACACCAGCAGCAGCAGCAGCAGGAGCAGCACCATCATGTCCTCCTCCACTTACAGCACACCACACCACTCCATTCCGCTTCACTTTAGCCTCTCGTTGATGCCCTGCAGAATTAGTGAAAAAGTTAAAGCCACAGCTGAGCGAGAAGAGAACATGAGCTGCCCTGGAATTAAGTGTAGGCAGAACGGGCCGAAGGATACCCTCCGCTTCCAATTACAGCTGCCAAACACATGGAGGTCTGCGCATTAATATCTGTTCAAGTAAATCGTAGCACTCGTAATACTTGACGACCCACATTGCTGGCAGTCTGTCCTGGACTGCACATAGTTTTGGAGACTGCGGAGACTTGGAGACTTGTTCTCGACTTGACGTACATCGATTGGGACTGTACCAAAATTAAAAGTTCCACCCTTAAAAGAGGAAAACACTCAATCGCCGTACTTTTCCTTTGTGTGTATTTCCAGTTTTTGGTATTTTTGTTTTGGTTTTGTTTTTCTTAATATTGAATTTCATTTATATCGGTTTAATCCATCTAACGGTAGCCAACGCTCTCTCCCTCTCCCTCTCCCTTCCTCTTGCTACCTTTTGCCTTATACACGAGTCGCACTTAGTTGCCATTTCCATTTCCATTTCCATTCGATTCGATTCGTATTTTTTGTTTGAGTTTAATTTAATTTCTTTTCGTTTGGCTGAGTTTTCACACACATTTCAGTTTGAGTTAAGTTTTCTTTTTGTTTTTAATCATAACTTAAGGTTAAATAACAATCACATTTACTTATTCTTTTTTTTTTGTTGTTGTTTCTTTCGACCAAAAAAAAAATGCTGCCTTGTCCTAACGTTTCTATTTGATGTTCTTATTCATTTATAATATTCATAATATTTTCTTTTACTCATTGGCATTCTCTCTCAGCTCTTTTACATGCATGTAGCTATACATACATGCATGTAATTATACTTTCTTCTTTGTGTTTTTTTTCAGTGTTTGCTTTTTTGTTTGGTTAATTGTCAATAAAACAATTGGAACAAACTTAAACAACAAAATTGGTTAAACGCTAGCCGGGGATTATGTTCCAGCTGGAAATCTGGCCTCTGCTTACACACTCTACATTACATTACATTACATTATGTATGCGTGCATGTAGTGTATAATTCTTACTACTTACAAAATACATACGCGCCACTTGCAGTGCACGACATTTGGCTTCACTCTTCCCGACCATTCCCACCCATTCTTCAGCTCCGTCTAATATTTCTAGTTCTATTTTTGAAAGAGTTTTTCGAGTTTCGATCTATAATATCTGTTGGCCATAGTATATACCAATGTGTATAGTTGTTTGTGGTTTAATATTTATGTTGGGCAAATGCTAGATTGAAAAGTTTCTCCATTGTGGCTACGATAATTTACCAATTAATTGCTTACATCTACATATGTCGGTATGGTTGGTAAACATTGAACTGCTGCATCCCACACAAGGACAAAAAATATACACACACAATATATCGACTATAAGTAGAGCTAACTTTGGCTTTGCTTTTCTTTGTGTGTGTTTGGGGCTTGTGTTAAAAGGTTACATCGTAAGTACATCCACAAGTAAGTACTAGAAGTTATCTATTCTCCAGCCGCAATTGTGTAAATGGTTCGTTTTCTCTTCTCTCTGTTCTCTTTGTAAATTGTGTCTGTCGTTCGGTCATTTGGCCACTAAAGTTCGGCACATTTGATTCCATCAAGTGGGTTGGCTTTGGGCTTGGGCTAAACGATCTGCAAGTGCTCTGTGTCTAAAAAGGATTGAAAGGATCAACGCTAATGCAGCTACCAATACGTCAGACTGCCACTATAGCCACAAAATCTTTCCATTCATTTGGTTCATATTTCAGGGAGTTTAGAGTGCTCTGAACTTGTCTTTGAATTTACATTGAAAATGTTCTACTTGTTCCCCTAACGAGGAGCTTGGAAGTCGCTCCAATGTTCTTGGAGATCTCTGGACACCCAAGTCCCATGTGAACCCCCTTGAAACCAATTCATTGTAAGTGAGAGCCACTGCCCTCTGCCTACGCTACTACTCATTCAATTCCAACAAACTGAAATTCCTCCACGAATGATCTCCTGCGGACACAGAGCAACTCGCTTTAAAGTGTGCCACTAAATGTGTAAATAATTATGTACTAATTTCGCTACGACTGTGTTTCAATCCTTCATGGCTGGGCTGGCTGTGTGTTCGTAAATGATTAAAACTAATTAATTATGCTTTAAAACATACGAGCAATATGTAATTATTCTGCATAATTTCGTGTGGTTTTTGTGTGTTTATTTTTCCATTTGCCAGTTTTTAATTACCATTTTTTATCAGTTTTTTTTTTGTGTCGTTTTGCTTACATCGTAGATCGTATTTTCCGTATATTTCTGTTTGTATTTTCTTTATTTTCTATTTGTTTTTGGTTTTTGGTTTTGGGTTTTTATTTTAGTTAGACATTTAAATACGCTTTCTCCCCCCCATCAAAAAAGTTGAGAAGAGTTGGGCATGAAGGTGGATTTTTTGGTTTCTTTTTTTTTTTTTTTTTTTTTTTTTTTTTTTTTTTTTTTTTTTTTTTTTTTTTTTTTTTTTTTTTTTTTTTTTTTTTTTTTTTTTTTTTTTTTTTTTTTTTTTTTTTTTTTTTTTTTTTTTTTTTTTTTTTTTTTTTTTTTTTTTTTTTTTTTTTTTTTTTATATTGTATTTTGAATCCCATTTGGGGCTTTGGGCTTGTATTTCTAGTGGTTTCTTCTTACACCCTAGCTCTAGGAGTTCTGATGCGAAAAAAAAAGAAAGAAGAACTTTCGCTCCTCTCTGGGATGTGCATCTTCAGCTCTGGATCATGTTTTGCTCTTACCTGGCCTTTCTTAACTGCCATTTACATCGACGACCGCGGCCAGGGCATGATGGCCATTGGGCAGGCCATTGGTGGAGCCATAGATGGTGGAGCCGCCCGTGTTCGGGGACTGTGGCGTCTGTGGTGGCGAGGCGGGCGGCGTTAGTGTGGCCGGCGGCTCCTCGGCAACTCCAGCGGACACCTTGCTCATGCCGTTCCCATTACCATGTCCAGGGCTGATGAGGGCCTGCGATTTCAGGTCCTTCTCTGGCTCCTTCTTCTGCGGCTCTGCCTCGGCCAGCGGTGGTGGTGGCGGTGGGGGCAGCGAGTCCAACTGATTCGACTCCAGCAGCGAGAAATCATTCAGCTCCTTGATCTCCTCGGTGGATGGTGGTGCAGGCAGACTCATCAGGCTGTCGTAGGTGTTGTCGGGTTCCATTTCGGTGACGCTTTCTGGCTCCGGTTCCGGTTCCGGTTCGGCTTGCTGTTCCTCCTCCGGCTTGGCTTCTGTCTTCAGCTCGAGCTGCGGCTCTGGTTCTGGCTCTGGTTCAGGCTTGAGCTCCGCTTCCTTCTGCTGCTCTGAGTCTGCCGCCTCCTCGAGCTGCTCCTTTGGCTTGATGGTGGGCAGAATCGGTTGGGCTGTGGGGGAGCTGGTGGCATATCCGGACTGCTCGATGACATACAGCTCCTGGTTGCCGTAGGAGTAGCGCTTGTTGGAGTCGGTCGACGAGGTGGAGCTGAGATCCGACTGGGAGAGTCCTGTTTGTGCGAGATCGGCAGGGGCATCCTCCTGCTGTGGCCTGGCAGCCTCCTCCAGCAGCTGCTCCTCCGCCTCCTCGATGAGATGGAGCCCACCCGAGGTGGGATTGACCGGCGGCAAGATGGGATTGCTGAAATCGCTGGGTGGAGCATGGATCTGCACCTGTTCGTGGCTGGGCGGCAGACTCTGTTCGTCCAGGATGTGCAGTCCATTGGCCTGCTGCAGCTTCGTGTCGAAGGGCAGCTCGGTGGTCTCGAGCGCTGATCCGGGGATGTCTGCCGTCTGCTTGGAGTCGATGCCACGTGCCACTTCCACCACAAACACTCCATCCTTGTCCGTGTGCATCTTGGTCTCTCGCGCGTTTCTTGAGATGTCCTGCGAATGAGAGTGAGGATTGAATGGCTGCTGAAATGGTTGATGGTGGAGGTGGCAAACAAAAGAATGGCAATTGCATCAACAGCATGCAGTCAGGCTACAACAACACCAAGGAAGAGACAGACAGAGTTTGGAGTGGCGATGGAGATGCTGGTGGAGGTGGAAGGAAGTCAAAGTAGAAGGTGACAGAGCAGACAAATCGGGCGGCTGCCATGCGGAAAGTGTCGAAAATTTGCATTTGCATATGCTTGTGGCATGCTCACAGACTAAGCCTCACCCACCACCCACCGACATAAGGACACACACACACGCACACCACGCACACTCACAGACAGATGAATGAATATTTTGGGGCTGCTGGGAAGGAGCCGCCGGTGACAAATGGACGACACTGTTTGCCGTTGCCTCAGCATCAAAGCTGTCCAGCAGCATACAGCACATATGAGGACCCGCAGGACAATGCCAGGACAACACAGCTTAGATGAAAATGGGATCGGATTGGAAGACAGAGAGAGAGAGACATTCATGAGGGGGGAGGGAGGGCGAAACACTGATCAATGCAAGATAGCTGAAGGTGGGGCTCATGAGAGTGAGATTAGGAGGTGACAGACATGAGGAGACAAACAGGAGTAGTCCGGTTAGGGGAACAGCAAAAAGTACAACAAGTCGAAGGAAGAACAGAGAGGCAGAGGGACAGAGAGTGTTACACTGAAGGGCAGGCTTTGGTAGTGAATGAACCGCGATGAAGGAGCAGGCAGCACAGCAAGACAACAACAACAACAACAACAACAACAACAACAGCGACAACAATGAAGAACGAACGCGAGAGAGCAAGAGGGACAACCATTGTGGAGTGCATGTGGGAAAGGAGACAGAACAACACTTAGACAGGAGAGAATGAGGGAAACGACAATAACAGAGTGCAGACAGAGACACACAGAAGCAAACAACAAACAGAAAGAGACACAGAAAGAGAGAGAGAGAGAGAGAGAGAGAGAGGAATATGCAGCAAGAGAGTGTTGCTAGCTAATGGTACATCAGTCGGAGCTGGGAGCTTCGTGAGGGATTTTTGTTTATAAATTTTTTTTTTTTTTTTTTTTTTTAATCTAAAAGTTTACCCAGTCAGGAATGTCTGTATGCACTTGGCAGTGTTCTATGTCTACTTTGATAATTTAATCCGCAACTAATGGAAATTCAGTTTTATATATATATTTTTTTTTTTTTTTACTTCACTTCACTGCAGTCCAACCAAGACACCCAAAAACCAACAACAACTCTCAGCCACAACTTTGTGCTTCCTGTCAATCCAAGGAGAGAGAGAGAGAACAGAGACGACAACATATACATACGAGCACATGTGGTACAACGCACAACGAGGTCCTGTGTGAAACAGAGACGGACAACACATAGCAGACAGTGTGTGTGTGTGTGTGTGTGTGTGTGTGTGTGTGTGACAGCTGATCGATCAGCTGCTAACGAAGTGACATGACTTACGTGTCGCTCTTCGGTGACAACAATGAGATGATTATCTTTGAGCGTCATTTTGGTGACGGAGCCACAGGGCGCCATGATGACATCACTCCAGTCATCATCGGCACCAGCTTCATCGCTGCCCGTCGAGCCCCACATGTCTGGCATCTCGAATTGAAATTCTAGATGCTCCAGACCAGCGCCCAGTTGATGGCCCAAGCTGTTGGACTTTTCACTGTTCGTGGGCCGTGGAAACGAGCAGGAGGATGTGGTGGCGGTGTTCGATACGGATGCGAACGCGGACGCGCTCCCAGACGATGCTGAAGAAGTGGCCGAAAGCGTTGACTGCAAGGCAAAGGAGCAAAGGCCAAAGGCTCTCAGTGTGCATCGATTTCAGCACAGATATTCCAAAGAACGATAATTAGATGCAAATCATTTATTCTAACCACAGAGAGATTCGATGAACACAAAGTGAAATGCACTCTCTAGCCTCTCGCTTTCTCCACCCTTTCTCCTCCCACACACACAGAATACACACACAACCAAGCTCCGCCACACACACACAGGCATCGAGTGAAGCAATTTTATTTAATTTCGAACCAAAAGCGTTTAGTTTTTGGGTTCAGTTTCCATCTTTAAATTGAAATTTAGATTTAATGCTGGCCTCCGCTTTGGCTTAATCGTGGGGCAGCAATGAAATTGCCAGTGGAAATTCTTCCTGCTCTTGTTTCATTTTGTTGAGAGCCCTGGAAAAGTGCAAGGGGGTGGGGGGCAGGGAAGCCTGGGGTACTCGAGACTAAGTTTTGAGGCACTCGCTGATGGCACTTTGCGTTTAAATTTCAATTTTCAGCTACCACTCGCTGAGCGATGACTTACCTCATTCTTGGAGTCCGTGCCCTGCTCGCTGTCATCGCTATGGGCGCCGCAGAGTCCCTTCCTCGAGTTTTTGTTCAGCATGTAACTGCAAGAGAAGAGAGAGCGAGAGACAGTCAGTGTGGGTGGGCAGTGAGTGGAGGATTAACATTGTGTTGCCTACTTTGAGGCGGCATACACATGTTGCATACGCAAAACAAAATGTATATCAAATATTTGCACAGCTCTCTTGGATCTTGGCTGAGAGGCTGCCCCACATAATTCATATTAAGTTTTGCATTCAATTTCCGAGAGACGCGGTCGCCCATTGTGGTTGTCCTGGTTGCCCGCGTAATGCTATTGCCACTCAACGAACTTCAACTTGCCACACGCACAACTAATTTCTCGTCCCGTCTCGTCTCGAGAGTTTATTGTGCAATTTCCTACCTCACACACACACACGGGGGAGGCTGGTGTCCTGCTCAACCAGCAAAGAAATAAGGGAAATAAATTGTGTATTTCCTTTTTATTTAGACTTTGGCTCTTCGTCGCTGGCGCTTTTTCTTTTCTTTTTTCAGGGGCGTTGTGTTGGGGTCATTGACGATTGCTGGGCGGATAACAAACTGGCAAACGTTTGCGGCCAACATTTGGCGTTTTATGCGTTTTGTTCTGCGGCTTCAGGGGGATGGCAGCTGGGACTGTAGCACCTCGCTCTCTCTCTCTCTCTCTCTCTCTCTCTCTGGCAGCTTGTTAGCTTCTGGCTTTTACATCATCTGTGTCTGTGGTTGCGGATGTGGCTGCGCCAAGTGTGAGTGTGTGCGTGTGTCTGCGTGGCGACTTCCGTTTCCTGCGTTGATTTGTTGCTGCTTCATTTTCGGGGGTTCCGGGGCTCTAAACCTAAGCACACCCCAGGTCGCAGCCATTCTTTCCGCTACGCACTCACACATAAATATATTCTACATCCTTCGAAGTAGCTTCCTTCAAACCAATTCGCATTTAGTTGGTGTGCTCGGGATTTATGCTCCTCATGTTGGCTGCTAAAGGATGTGCGTGCCTGGCTCCTTCTGTAGTGTCCCCCCGCTGCCGTCACAGATTTGTCAATGTTTTGTTGCTGCTGCTGCTGCTGCTGTTCGCCTTCTGCTGTCTGTCTGTCTGTCTGTATGTCTGTCGCTGGCAATGCGAGAAATAAAATGCCACGGATGAAGCTGATAAATGCGATTTGCCACGCCTTTGCTGCAGCATACGGGTGAGCTGTGTGTGTGTGTGTGTGTCCCTGTGTGGTTACCGTTACTCTGGGGTTAGCTCTGTGGGTCAGGTGGCGGCAAATTGCTTTAAATTGAGTGCATTCTCCGGGCTCCCTCAAAAGTAGGCAACAAATTTGAGCAAAAACTCTGTCGGAATCCTTTCAACCGAACACCAAGAGAAGATGGATGTTGGGCGTGGCGGAGGTTAAGGAATTTCCCCAAGACTAGGACCCACATCCACAGCCGTCTAAGCTGGCACTTTGATGGCAATTCCTTGCAATTATTTTTGATTTGTGTAGCACATTGCTGTCTAAGCTGATTAGGCGCCACACGAAGTGTAACCAATTAGCCCCAGAGCAGAGAGTCAGAGACACTCAGAGACAGAAATCTACGCTCTACATTCTTGCACCACTCAATGCTTAAGTTACCATTTTCAAGTGCTGCCAAGTAGTAGCAAAAATTAAGAAGCAAATTTGTGTCTTTTCATCATTTCAAGCTCCGACTAACTGATAGTCCCCGAAATACTCACCGAATGGCACAGTACATGGAGATGAGCAGGCCCGAGGGTAGAACGACAATGATGAGACCCATGGAGACGGCAAACAGATTGAGATAGCCTGCAGAAATGAAAGACACAATAAAGCACATCCATCCATCCAGTTTCTGGTTGCTACTCACTCTCAAAGTCATCGAGCGTGTCATCGGATAGGGCTGTGGCATTGCCCAGTGCCTGGAGGCTGCCAGCGCCGCTGGAGAGGAGCGGTGCCATGGCCGAGACGCTGCCAGAGCCAGACTCGCCAGCCGAGCCGTTCTCATTGTGCTGCAGCAGAGTGGCATTCACCAGCTCCGCCATGGGCAGCTGTTCGCGGTGCAGATGACTGGCAGGCGAGTGGCGGGGCAGGTGATCCTGGCCGTGATTCGGGGCGTCGCCATCCTGCAGCTGACGATGGGCTGGGCTGTCGAAGGGATAGGAGCCCTCAACGCCATCGAAGCCGCCGCCTGCGCCATCATCGATGAGGTCGCCGCCATACTGGATGGAGCTCTCGATCACATCCGGATCACTGTCGACGCCAATGCCGATGCTGTTGCTCTGAATGTCATTCTCGTAGATGCCCATTCCGCCCAGCTCCCCAGGCATGTAGTCGATCTCCTTCAGCTCGATCTGCGGTGGCAGCTCCCCGATCACGGGCACACCAATCGCCAGATCGGGCAGCACGGCCGGCTGAATGATGATGTCCGACTGGGGTGAGTGGCTGAGCGGCGCCTGTGTGCTGCTGGCACTCTGCGGCTGCTGCTCCACCTCGATCACCGACTCGCCTACATAGGTGACGTCCAGCGGTGGTGCTCCATCGCCGCTACTCGGACCCGTGCTGCGGAAGATCTTCAATGCGTCGGCGGTGTTGTGCACAGGCGAGAGAATGATGTCCTCCTCGTAGCGAGGTGTTGCCAGGGAGGATCGCTGCTGCTGCTGCTGCTGCTGCTGCTGTTGCTGCTGATCCATCACGTAGCTGGCCGGGAAGAACTGATTCTCCAGCTGGAACTTGCGCTGCTGCTGATCGCTGGCAGGGGTGCCCGTGGGCAGGGACTCGCCCACCTTTACCTCCGTGTTGGATATGTAAAAGATCGTGTCTGAGTCGCGATCGATGCTGGGCTTGCGCGGTGGCGGCGGTGGTGGCGGTGGCGGTGGCCGTGGCACACCCTCGCCCTCTTTCAGATCCGCCATGAAGAGCTCATCCGCATCCTGGAGCTGGGGCGGTCGCACCGCGGGCGGAGGATTGGCCACCGCATCCGAACGGAAGGTGAATATCGGATTGATGTGCTCGCCACTCGATGAACTCTCCGTGCTGCTGTTGTCCCCGTTGCCGTTGTCGATGATCTCCACGACGAGAATCTCGTCGCTGGGCTTGCTCGGCTTCAGCTGCGGCTGGCGGTACGAGAACTCCAGATCCTCGCTCTCGCTGCCAAACGCCTCGGACACATTGATGTGGATCTCGATGGCCGCTGGCTCGGGCTTGCCCAGCAGCGAGCCACTCGAGGCGGGCTGAGTGGAGACATCGGCTCGATCGATCACATACTGCGTGAAGCGCTCCTGGGGCGGGCCCACTGGTGGTCGCGGTGGTCGCGGTGGCCGGGTGGTGCCCGACTCCACTGGCGGCGGATAGTAGCCCTCGTTGTCGCGGAAGTTCGTGGAAGCCACAATCGAGTCCACTGTGGAGTCATACACCTCGATCTGTATGTCCGAGATCTTGGATTCGGTGCGCGGTGGCGCTGGGCCCGACAGCTCCGGGCCACTGCTCAGGGGCAGGCGGGTGGTGCTCGTCAACGGCTCTGGCACCTGGAAAACAGTGCTCGAAAGCACCGAAATCGAGGCTGAATCGGGTGTGGCTGTGGTGGTGCTGCTGCTGCTGCTGCTCTCTGTTCTCTCTGTCTGCTGCTCGAGCAGCGACGTTGGGGCCAGGATCTCCACGAGGCGTCCGTTGCGCAGCTGCGACTCGATCGATGCCACGTGCAGGTGGTTCGGCGCCTGCGGCTTCTTCAGCGGATGCACCGCAGCAAATGTTTTCTCACCCATGAATATCGGACCCAGGTATCCATTGTGCACGGGCAGCAGAGGCTTGGTTGTGCCCGGGCTGCTGCCTGTTGGTATTGGAATCCTTTCCATTTCCGATTCAATTGCAGTTGTGGCCGTTGTTGTTGTTATGGTGGTTCTGGTGGTTCTGGTGGTGCTGCTGGCTCGGGTTCTTGTTTCCACGGTGGGTGAAGTGGTTGCTGCTGGTGGTGTGGGGAAATGTTGCTGCTGCAGCTGCTTCTTTCTTGTCAACTTGAGGCCATCGTGTCCACTGTTCATGGGCGGGGCCTCTGTGTGCTCCAAGTCGAGCAGCTGCACCACCGCCTGTGGTGGCTGTATTAGGTGGTCATCGCTCTCGGCTTTTGTTGGTGGTTCTCTTTCGGTTGTTGCATTGCCCGCAAGTGGTGTCTTGGTGGTGCCACTGGCTGGTGGTGGTTTGGTGTTTCCTGGCGCTGCTCTGCTACTGAGGACGGTTGTGGCCAGCAGTAGCAACACCCACAGGGTGCTACACTGAGTGCCACGCCCTCTGCTGCCGCTGCCCAGTGCAGTTGACATGCTGCTGCGGTTACCGCGAACTCTTCTGCTGCTGCTTCTGGCTTCTGCTTGCACTGCTTATCCAACTGCTTTTCGTACTGCTTCTCCCACTGCTTATTTTGCACTCTTCGCTGCTGCTGCTGCTGCTGCTGCTGCTGCTTCTTCCTGTCTTGTTTTGTTATGTAAATTTAGTTTTGAGTTTGCTTTGCTGGTGAAAATCTGTTGGCTCTTCTTGCCTTTGGCACTTAATTTTCCCTTTCGCTCTGCTTGCTGTAGCTGTAGCTGCTGCTGCTGTTGTTGTTGGCACTTGGCATTGTGTTGTGGCTCTTGAGGCTGACTGGCATCATCATCATCATCTTGAGCATCTTCTCTGCCATCAGTGAGCGTGCGCGTGCCCCTCCCGCAAGCGTCGCTGCAGCTGTTGCTGGTTTCGCTCAATTGCTCTGTCGCCGCTGCAGCGCCGCGTCGCTGTCGCTTGAACAGTTACTGGGTGCGGTGCTGCTCTTCTGCTGCCCTGGGGCTAGCGCCAGCCTCGTTGTCTTTTTTTGGCTTACAAATATCTTGTTCTCCTCCTACGCCTCCTTCGTGAAGCTCTGCCCTCCCCTCTCTCTGTTGCTCTTGGCACTTAATGGGAGGCGAATGTTGACGATGACTGCTTGCAGTCTCTGCTGCTGCTGCTTAGTCGTCCACAGAGTCTGATCAGACTTTGCTTCCTTTGCGCTTCAGCAACTGCCGGAGTTCCGCCCTAGAGTAAAAACGAGATTTAAAACAACGGAATACTTATGTATGCTTCAAAACAACAAACAAACAAATCTTATACAAAACCTACAAGTAGCAGCCGCGTAGCTGCGAAGACCGAAGAGCACTTAGAACTAATTCCTTAAACAGTCAACAACTTTTTGGCAGACGGATCAGCCTTAACCACAAAAATGCACTCCATAGTAGCAGACGCGCTGTGCATAGAATGCGATCTCGGGCAGCGCAGTCGACGCACACACAGCGCAACAGCTTCGTGTGGCTTCGGCTTATGTGGCCTATTCACAATTGATCGTCTGCGCGCAGCGGCAGAGAAGCAAGAAACGTTTTCGACTTCGTCTCTGTGCTTTGTTGTTTGTGCATACACAAGCGCATTGAAACTTGTGAGTGGCAGCGTGACGACCCCCCCGCTTAACAGTAACTAAAACTAACTGTAAGGAACAACTAAAACTGCGTTAAATGTAATTTAATAAGCAGTCTCCAATGGGTGAAGAATAAAACAAGAGAACAGAACGTAAACACAAGGAAAACAACTGAAGAATGGCAGAATAAAACATTTGAAATGCAAACACAAATAATGGGGAAGAAAAAACAGTCAAGAAAAGGAAATTCCTTGGGAACTCTTTGCTTTTTTAATGCAAATGTCCTCTTTTGCAGCTCTCGTTTCAAATTTCACGGGGAAAATAAAGAAAGTGAAACAAATACTTAAGCCTTTCGATTGTAGGACGTGTTCCATTTATTGCCATTAAAAACTTGGACCAAATATGAAAATATTCCTAAAAATGTGCAGTATTCAGAGTGCAAACTTGATCTAGTGAAACTTCCTACACATTTATGTGTCTACCGTGGCCGACCGAAGAAACTTTCCTGACATTCCTCTCGGGACTCCTCCCCTGCCATCCATTAATTCATTGAGATGTCGGAAGGTGTCACTGTGCCACTCTGTTGGCCAGTCGGACACATGAATCCATTTGGACTTTCTCAGATCCTCCCCCGTTCCCGTCCAACTGCCTTGGCCAGAGAAATATGCAACGAGCAGGGAGGTAAAGGAATTCCTCAGTTCGTCATCCTTTGAACTGGTTTTTAGGCTGCGGCTGCCTGGCCATGCAAATTAAATATAAAGCCTACAAAATGATTCGATTTCACAGCCCCCGAACCTGACCGACCCCAAAGAACCCCAAGCCAAGGAAAAGGTTCGCCAAAGGAAAAATGGGGAAAACCACAAGCAGGCGCCAGGCACAGGCACAGACACAGACACAGACACAGGCATAAAGGCTTTCTCATTCTCTCATCATCACGGTCATCGTCGACATCAACGGCCACATAACAACTTGCTTATCACTCACTCGGCTCCAAGACCCCGACCCCAGACCCCAGAACCCAGAGCCCAACCGCCCATCAACCGCTCAATCTGCTGCTCCCCGCCTCACCCTTTGCACTCAGCCAACTATTGAAAACAGAACATCAAAGACAGCGGCGGGTGCGAGGATAGAGTAAAATATACACAAAAGGGAAAAAGGCCAAACAATAATAAAGATTATGATAACTAGGGGGGCATAACGATGCGAAAAGGGTAAGAAAGGATACCAACATTTATCTACATGGATGTATAACTACATCATACATCTCCTTGCAACGGAGAGCTCCATCTCTCTCGTATTAGAATTCCAGTTCAAAGTACTCAAAGCACGGATTTGACGGCATAAATGAATCTTAATATCATCGTTGCATAAGTTGAAGTGTACCGAAAACAACTAGGAGCAACTGGAGGAGAGAGCTGCAAGCAATGGGGTCACAGGTCACATTTCCATGCATCAAGCTCTTGTTAAAAGTTTGCCATCATTCATTATCTGGGTTCTAAAACATTGAATCGCTTTTTATGGTATACTCGACTTACCGCCGGCGAATCCGTTGGCTGCTTCCGCTTGCCCCGCAAGGTAATCCACGGGTCCTTGCAGAGCTCTAGGGCCCGGCCACCTGCCCTTTTTTTTAACTTTTTGTCACCTTCGCACAGGCTTTTGTGGCTTTTTGTTATGCCTTTTGCTTATTATGCTTTTTCGCACAAAATTCGATTGTTTTTGGATTGTTTCTCGCACGGACACACTGGAAAAAACTGGACACAACAACAAAAACAAAAGAAAAACAATCAGCGACAACACAACAAACACAAAAAAGCACTAAAAGAAGCCGAATCGCGGACACGCAGCATAACGGTAATTGTTTTGATGCGGCAACAATAACAGAAGCAACGGCCACAAGCAGTGGGAGAGGGAGAGGCAGAGCAGAGAGCAGAGCCGCCCCAAGACAAAAGTCGCATGAGAAACGCGCCAAAATGTAAGCAAATTAATCCTCAGTTGGGACTCGTTCGGTTCTGCTATTGTCCTAGGCCCGCCGTTACCCCCGCTTCCCCCTTCCCACACCACGCACGCTGCGGCATAAGGTGCGATATGGAAGGAGATGGACTGACCCACAACTCCTCTGCTATCCTTTATCACGCTGCCTCTTTGGGTGCTGTTCTCGGTGTATGCTGCTGCTGCTGCTGCTGCTGTTGCTGCCGCTGCTGCGTCCTGTAGCTCCGAAAACCGCACGAAAACTGCGCAAAAATCAAAGCATCCTTTGCCTAAAAGGACTCACGAACCTCCCAACGAACCTGACTCGACACGAGCATTCAAAATTTGCGCGCGCTCTTTTCCTGAACAAACGCGAGGAATGTTGCGCATGTTGCGCATGTTGCGCATGTTGCTGGCAAGCCATCGGCAGGGTGTGTTCGCACAACGAGGTGGTCGGTCCTCACGGTGTGTGCAATTAATACTTATTTAAAATTATCTTAAATGTTGTTGTATTTTTGATACATTCCTACCCCGAAAATAACTCGCAAGCAAACAAATATTTATTGCTGTTGCTGCTGTGTTGCATACCGACACCTCGTTGTCCGTCGTATACGCAATTTACCGTTTGCAACATTTAAGGTGTAACCAGCCAGCCACCCCTTCCACTCTTTAACCACCGCATAGAGAGTGAAAAAATCAACAGCCGAGAGCGAGCTGAGCCGAAGTTGAGAGCAAAGCGAGCGCAGTGCTCCAATCCAGTGATGAGCATCCTGCGTGCAGTGCTGGCGTTTCAGATTATTTTAGCCGTTTCTTAAGTTATAGCTGATTTTTCAGCCATTTTTGGCTTATTTTACTTGCAAATCTAGCTTTCAGTGACTCGGCAGCACCACGCGCGGCTTGCATGTAAGCGCAAGGTATAAATATATAAGGTATGCACAGCTCAGCGCACGCCATTCTCTTGAGTGTCACTTTGGGCAGCATTTTTCACCTGTAACATAACGAGTAACCACTATTGGCACACTACATAGCCCTATAAATTCTAATTGTAATTATCCAAAATTATAATGGAAAACTCAAACAAAATTTGGTTGCACCTCATACATTTTTGTGCCATGGACTGGCTACAGTGCTGCTCAATGCTGAAGTGGAGACTCGTTTGGAGACTTTTCCACGCGGTTTGTGTCTTGACTGAGCTCCAACATTTGACTGCAGCTTATGGAGTTTTTCAGTTAACAAAAGCTTTTGTGGTGCAACTTTCATGAACTTAACTTAAAAAGCTTTTAAATATAGCTTTGGAGCAAAATAAATGTGCAAATAGGCTGATAAATGATAAAAATCCAGCTAAAAGCCCATTAATATGGGACTGAGACAGCTCTTGAAAGCATTCTACCTGCGATGCCTAACTCCGAACTCCTAAGACAAGACAAGCAAAAATAACATTTCTGCAGCCCATTCACACTCGACAATTTCTTCTAATGAAACACCCACAAATGTGACGGTGAAAGCGCACAGCACAAGAGAGAGAAATAAAAGTGTAAATAAATAAAACATTATTCGGGCGTGGAGATGATTCACGGGCCGAACAATTTGCACTCAAAAATGGTGACTGCCTGCCACAGCGGGAATACATTTTGGGGAAATGAACACTTTTTTCAGCCTGTTCTGCTCAGCTCGTGCAACACGCACGATAATGCCCATAAATAATTTGCCATTTGATTATGTAAAACTGGCTGCTTGCCCGGTTGACTGTCGTCTCCTACACGTCCTCCCTGTCCGCCTTCGCCTCTGCCTCTGCCTCTGCCTCTGCCTCTGCCTTGCTCACTTATTTGTCTACGCTGTGGAATTCGAGGCAGGTCGCTCCCCTCCGGGCGACACTCCCAAATGCCTTCGTTCACGTTTCGTCTCCCGTTTGGACATTGAATGTCTCAAGACAAGACACAGGCTGCCAGGCACCGTTCGGCTTTGGGCATCTGTCAACTCTTTGACCATCTCTCTGTGTGTCTCTCGTTTTGTATCCCCCTTTCGTGAGTGACTGCTCTGCCTGCGGCATACACTGCCAGCAATTCGGCATTTGCATTTGTGACCCAAAGTGCAGCCACAAAATGTACGGCAAATAAAAGTCTCTAAAAGTGTCGGGTATCTCCCTCGCAGGCTGCCACTCCCACTCGTGGGAGCTAGAGAACTTAATTGAATCTCCCCTCTGTCGGTGCCTGGCCATTGAGCACATTTCAATTGCTGACCTCAAAGCGTTTCGTTTGGCTCTTTGTGAGTTTCTTGCCTTGTGTGTGTGTGGCTGGTACTCACCTCCGTGGGGCACGCTTTCTTCATCGCGTCGAGGCCGCTGGCATTTATCGAGCCTAGCGGACCTCCCTTTGACTTTGGCTACTTCGGGGTAGATTCTGCGAGCTTGTTGCTGTTGCATTTCTAGCGGTTCAGCCTTGGGCAGCAACAGGCAGCAACCTGCAGCTCCCCCTTTTGGCTGGCGACAACTTGACTTGATTTATATGCGTGCCGCGCATGCCGCACCGAAACCGTTTGCTGGCCACAAAACACTTGCCAATTGGCTAAACAGTTAGCCACTCCTCCAGGACTGCGACTGGCATTCCGAGATCAAATCAAAACAGTTACAAAACAGTCTCAGTGCCAGCTGAGAGTTATGGACATGGCTTTGGCCACACACATTAGCACTGCTTCGCCACTGCTTGGGCACTGCTTGGGCACTGCTTGGAACTCGTTCGCTGTTCGTCTTCTCAGATCTCCAGATCTCCAGATCTTATGCAACCTCATCTGAGGCAGTATTTTATGCTGCTTTTATGCATGAGAAATATTTTGGGTTCGGGTTGAGGAATGATAACAAAACTTTCGCATTTTGTTGTCGTTTTGGGATGCAGGTTGAAATCTGTTAACTGATTCACATGTCCGAGGAGCGGACTGCGGACTGCGGACTGCGGGTTGGGGCGTGGCCAATTGAATCATCAATGAGTGCGAAAGCATTTCACTTTCGCTCGCCGCCTGCAAGCGCTTTCTTTTGAGTCATCCCCTGCATGGACTCTCCACTCTCCACTCTCCACTCTCCACTCTCCCCCCCAGTCCGAGTTGCTTCTTTATGACTCCATTTATGTGGGTGACGATTGCAACATCATCTTCGCGCGGCCTGAGACAAAGGCCCAGCACTGTTTCGGTTTCGTTTTCAGTTTCAGTTTCGATTTCTGTTTTTTGTTTTTTGTTTGTGTTTCATCATCAGTCCCTCCCCCGTGTGTCCCTCTGTGCCGAGTGACATCCATCACAACAATTAATGTGCATTATTGTGGAGAAAGAGAGAGAGAGAGAGAGAGAGAGAGGCAGTCTTTATTTTTATTTGTTACAGTAGAAATTGTTAAGCAAATATTTAGCTTGTTGCCGAAACCTGTCGTGAAATTGGGAAAATTGTTTGCGCAGTTGCTGCCGTTTCGGGGCAGGAAAGTCCACTGGCAGTTCGAATGACCGAAGATCGTTGTACACTGCCTGGCAGCAACTTGTGGCAACTTGCAGCATGAGTCGTGCTACCCCACGCGGAAAGCGTAATCGAAACTTTCTTTCAGCCGTTGCTCGATGCTGCCACAGTCAGTCACGTTCCTTGGCCGCTGCCCTGAATCGAGGCCCATTTTTGGTGGGCTAGGGGAGGGGAGGGGAGGTGCGGTCTCTGTGTGGTCAGGTCGAGGCCTCTGTGCCCAGAAATCATAATTTGCTAATACATTTCCATGCCCAAGGTGAAAGTTTTGCTGGCTCAAGTTTGTGTTCTAAGTCGTTCGATTGCTGTGCAGATTGAGGGCTGCTAAACTTTCGGCTACAAAATTTCACTCTCGTTTTCTGTTTCAGACAACAAACTGCAACTTCAGCTTCAGCTTCAACTTCAACTTCAGCTGCGTCTTGAACAAAAGTTGAGGCGCGCACAAAACTTGTTTCCACAGAGAAACGAGACGTAGAGGCAGATAATTTCACTTTTATTAAGTAATTTGGAGGCACAAGACTCGCCGCCAAGTGACACTTGGCACTGCCAGATGCCCAGCAACAATTAAGAAAGTAAATCGAGGAATGCCTCAGAGATTTATGTGCGCTGATAGCAACAAATTCGAGAACGTACGAAACTTTCTTGACTGCTGCACATTTGGCACAGACTTCAATCAAAGCTGATGAGATGAGATGAGAGTGGAGCCATTAGGCAGGCAGAGGCAGTCAGGCAATCTGATAACAATCTGTCGTGGCAGCCGCTCAAATGAACCAATTTCAGGGCAGACTTCATTTCTGTGTCTCTCCGCAGAGTTCTCAGCGCTCCGATCAAAGTCAACTCTCGATTTTGCCGCACACTTTCACTGCAGCTCAGGGTAGGCCCTTTCGCTTCAAAGTTCCTTCTAAGGAAAGTGCGAGCTGGCAGGCCTTACCTTTGGCATTGCTTTTCCTGCCCATCCCCGAATGTGCCATGTCAGTTCTGTAGCTCAGGTTTCGTGCAGCTGGCTGACCTTGCTGCCAGAACTGCTGCCATCTCCAAGTGCAGCGCTTTCACGCTGCTGCTGCAGGCAGCCAAAGTTAAAGCCAAATCCAAATCCAAGTCGAGGCCCGATTTCGGCTGCACTGCACTGCACTTTCAGGCCAATCGTCACACGTCTCGATTCGCTGACAACCTGCAATCCTCCAGCCAGCAACTAATCATAATTTCAGTCAATTTAGCAACCAGCGACAAGTGTTTTTTCGAGACTCTTTTCTGTGTGCTGCTGCAGTGACTTTCTCCCGACCTCGTTCAGCTCGATTCCCATTCCCATTCCCATTCCCATTCCTAAAATAAATGATTGACCCAGAAGTCTTAGCTGGACTTGGCTGGGTCTCCGACCAGGTCTATTGACCTCCCAAAACAGTCACAAACAGTCAGAAATTGAATATGGTTTTTAGAAACTTTTCGGCACGGCCATAATCAGAAGTCGGGATGGGAAATGTATTTGCATATTTCTCGAGCGCGCTCTCTTCGGGCCAGCAAGCAGCGGGGAAGAAACTCAGCTTGGAATGCGTTAATTGGCCGGGCAGGCAGCCAGCCAACTGAGCAAACAGTTAGCCAACTGAGCTCCGATTCGGGTTCTGTTTCTGTTTCTGTTTCTGTTTCTGTTTCAGGTGTTGTCAGCCAATATTTCACCTGCCACTGCCGCATGCCACGCTCGCTGATGGGCAACGCTTAGCAGCCTAACGAGGCGTCACTTTTGCCCCCCCAAAAAAAATTGAAACACAAAACAGCAGCAACAACAAGGGCCAGACAGTT